GTAACTATATTACATTTGTAAGGGGGAGATGGGATTGATTTGGAAATGGAAACCATGGATATTTTTCTAGATGGGTATTTTTACTTTCCCTGTTACATGGAAGATGACAAAATTAGGCAGGAAATTACAAAAGTCTGTCACACAAAGAAGGAAATTACTTGTGTGGTGTTCCGTGTAGAGAAAATACACTGAGTCCACTGCGGAGGTGCTACAGACAAAGTGAGGGGCTCGGTAAATTTTTTGTTTGTTTCTGGGCATCACTGCCCACACCAATACCAAGGGCCATGCCCTAAGTGGGGCACTAAGATGGGTAAGGTGCTGTTCCTGCCTTCAAGATGCTTATGGTCCATTCAGGGGAGAGTTGGGCATATAACTGGACAGTTCCAGCCCAGCGTGATCGGGACCTTCATGAGGCCAGTACTAATTGTGGGTGGACACAGCGGGGCTCTCACATCCAGGATTCTGCCTGGACAGGACTAACGTGCTTCCCAGGACTGACGTTTTCCACGTGGCTCTGAAAAGAAAAACAACTACAGAATCACAAGGTATGATAAGAATCCTTCAGAGAAAAAAAAAACAGGACATGGAAATACTGTCAAATCTAATACCTTTACTCATTCGCACTTGGAAAGAGAAGACTGGCAGACACAGAGGCTCTGGGGTCGGCAACACCTTCCTCCCAGGTTTGCTCAGGTTGTTAAGGAATCCCCAGGGACACCGGCTCTTCCCATTAGCAGTGAATTAGACCAGAGGACGCACCACAGCTGCACTAATCTTTGCTGTATTGGATTACAAAGCCGAGTAATTGCCATTTAAGTTTCAAGTAATGGTGAGGGCATTCATCTGTGTTTTCATTCATTCATACAGCAATTAATTTGTAACTAAATTAACAATAAAAATGGTTATGTGATCCAATAAAGTAGTCATGATAGCAGGGGAAAAAAAATAATCTCATCTGTTTTACTCTACTAGCAAGGCCAAATCACTTTTCCCCTTCCCACTGTTGTTTGTCTCTCTGGAGAAGGTTATTTTCAGGCAAACAAAGTGGGGACCGGGTGTGCAAGCTGGCGCCTGTCAGGGGCCCAGCCTCAAAGGACAGGAAAATGGGATTTGTGTGACACAAAGCATTGTTGACTTGAAATGGTACAGGCAGGTAGGTCACTACTGCAACATGCTCCCCAGTAAGGCCAGGAAACAGGCCCTCTGGAATTGTTCAAGGCAAAGATAGACACAAATTAGTTCAGAAGATGTTAGCAGGGAATTAGCAAACTGGGGCTCTTGGACAGCATATGGCTAGCAGACACATTTTGTTTGGCCTCAAAGGGTTTTTAAATCTTTATATTTGTTTCCAATGTTTAAAAATTAGGCTATTTCACATGACTATTCAGATCTCAAATTCTCTTGAAAAGTTGGGAAATTGTTTGCACTACATCTACATTTTTGTCTGGCAACACTTGTCTGGAGTAGAGTTGGCAATGCTTGCCAACTTACTGCAGTCTCCACCACTCCCTATTGTCCTATACTGTGCCTGCCTCCTTCATTATTAACATGCCTGGCTTCTATAGGATTTGAGTGTGAACCCTAGGCCAGTGGTTCTCAACCTTGGCTGCACATTAGAATCACCTGGGAATCTTTTTAAAATCCTGATTTCTGGGCCTCATCCTCTGGAAATTCTGTTTCTTTGTTACTAATGTTGTGGCCCCACCCCACAACAAAGAAACAGAATTTCTGGAGGATGAGGCCCAGAAATCAGGATTTTAAAAAGATTCCCAGGTGATTCTAATGTGCAAGCAAGGTTGAGAACCACTGGCCTAGTCACTTACAGAAGTAACCTGCTTTGGTTGCCCTATCAACTTCACTTTTTAACTTTCTGGGACATTTTATTTTTTCAGAGCTTGAATGTCTTCTGCATGGAGAGTGTTCCTTGACCAAAGGTTTTTTGGTTTTGACGTTAAACCTATTGCCATAGAACCATAGACTTATCCAAAGGGAAGTTAATTTGGAGAGCCTGCCTCATTTAGGAACAGAGGCTCAGAGAGGCCAAGATCCATGTTCAAGTTCACACAGCAACTTGAGACAGAACCAAGACCAAAACCAGTTCTAGTACTTTTCCTACTACATTTCAGCCCTTCTGAGTGCTCATTCATGATACTGCATGTCCCAAAGCAAGACTATAATTTCCTGAGTCACTGTGCAGTATTCCCACCTCGGAAAAGTTTGGATAGTGTAGGCCTATTGGGCATGGTTATCTGTTCTCCAAAATGGCCCCTGGTGATGAGATGCAGTGTTGAAAGCTTAGTTTCTGATTTAGTCTGTTAACTTCTGAGAGCCCTGAACTAGGAATGAGGCCAAGTGGGATCAAGTCCCAGCTTTTCCTCTTACCAGCTGTGTGACCTTGAGCAAGTTTCCTCACCTCTCTGAGTCAGAATTTCCCAAGTATAAGACAGGAACGCCTGCCTCACAGGATGTTGTGATGATCATGGGACATAACACACATGAAAGTTCTCAGAAAAATGTAAACAGTTAGATAAGTGCTAGTTACTATTACAAGCTCTTGAGCTTTGGTATCAGAGAATCTCAGAATTCCCTAATTTTAAAGGCAAGGCAATGGAGGCTCAGCCAACTGGACCATCCAGTCAGCCACGGGCATTGTTCAGACAGCAAATAGGCCTCGTGTCCTCAGTCACAGTTGGACTCAATGGAACTCAGTTAAAGCCGTGTAGGTCCAAACACCAAACACGTGGGCAGCAGAGGAAGCCTCCGCTGGCCATGGGGTGAAATGGAAATGCTTTAACCTCCCCTTCTTAGCGTTTGTGAAAGCAGAGTCCCAACCTCAGACACAGAGTCATTAAATAGCTCTCATTCTAGGGGAGAGGCAGAGAGGAAGAAAGATGTTGGCACCCTCTCTCCTTAGCATCCTCAGGCTGGGACTCTGGGTAGCACCAACTGACTCACAGAGTAGGAGACTCTGTGACCCTGGAGGGAAGAGCCCCACACTTGCTGGTGGCTGAGTCCCTGTCATGAGCATGGACTTGGAGACATTACACTGTGCAAATGAACACCCGCTTTGCAAAGTGGTGGGACCTGCCAGCTCTCTAGTTTAACTAGATCTCTGCAGTGACATCCAGGCATGTTCTGCATTAAACCAGAGTTGGTAATTTCAGAGGGAAACAGCCCTGAAATGGCATGAAAGACAAAATTCTGTTCCTTGAAAAATGACACCATATGTGTCTGCATTGCTGCAGTTAGGGTAAAAGGCTTTTCCTCCTTTTGTTACTCATCAAGCTGCCAGTGTTAATGTCAGGTTTGCAACAGAACCATATACTAATGGAACCTAAATTAGCTCTAAAATTAGCTCTTAACAAGAAACTGGAGGCTAGCTCAAGGCAAGCAGACTTCTCTGACTGTGGGAGATGGGAAGCATTTTAGCAAAGCAGCCGCATATCGATGGTCTTGAGCCTCTAAAAAGATTACCCTTTGCTCTGAGTGAATTGCCCAGGAAGAATTGTCTGCTGTCTGCCTATGTGTCAGGAACTAGCAGCTCAACCTGTAGTTTTAAGAAAACCTTCCCCCCAAACAAAGAAGCTATTGAGAGATTGGAGTGAGGGTGAGGATGAGAGAAGGATTTAGGGCAGTGGTTCTCAACCTGTGGGTCGAGACCCCTTTGGGGGTCGAATGACCCTTTCACAGGGGTCACCCAAGACCATCGGAAAACACATATATAATTACATATTGTTTTTGTGATTGATCACTATGCTTTAATTATGTTCAATTTGTAACAATGAAAATACATCCTGCATATCAGATATTTACATTACGATTCATAACAGTAGCAAAATTACAGTTATGAAGTAGCAAGGAAAATAATTTTATAGTTGGGGGTCACCACAACATGAGGAACTGTATTAAAAGGTCGTGGCATTAGGAAGGTTGAGAACCACTGATTTAGGGGGTCAGATCTTGGTTGACGACCAAGGATCCTGGAAGTGGCAGTGTTCTGGGTTTTAGAGCATGTTCCATTATTATTGTTTATCTAACACCTTCAGAGAACCCAGACACTACAGGAAAACAAGTGATGGAAAATACTCATATGGTTGAACAATGTTTAGCAGTTGAAATAGATGATTGTGAGTTATCTTTCACCATCCTGAAAAATTATGGAGTGAAAATTTTTCTAAAGCACATCCTATCAGTAGTAACATCTCTGAGATATTGATAGAGTGATAAACTTCACAAACAAGCCAAGTATTTATTGCCCTTGGCTCATCAATGATCCTAGGTTGGAATTTAAAGGTCATTGGGTCAGCATTTTTTTATAATTTTGTTTTCTTTTTAAATCCTCACCCGAGGATATGTTTATTGGTTTTAGAGAGAGAGGAAGGGAAAGATCGAAAGAGAGAGAAACATCAATTGGTTGCCTCCAGTATACCCCCCAAATGGAGATCAAACCTGTACCCTTTTTGGTGTACGGGATGATGTGCCAACCAACTGAGCCACCTGGCCGGGCCTGGGTCTGCATTTTGAAGGCCGTTTTGATCTGGGAGTTCACTCCAGGTTTGTGGACCAGGGTTGGTGGCAAAAGGAGAATGTAGGAAGTAGGATGGTGATTAGAACCACTGAAACCTGCCCAAGGAAAAAACCAAAAGAACTAGGAAACCAGATAGATGCAGTCAGAGAGCAGCAGGAAGCTGACATTAGTTTAGGTGCAAAGTGGTCTGAATTAGGTACCTCCCACACACAATCAGGAAAAATGTATCCAATTCTGTCAACGAGGTGCCTACATTCCTCATCCACTTCCAGAAAGTATGAATTCCTGTGTAGCCAGGGAGCATCTCTCAGGCTCACATTTGGGGCATGTGAATTCCATGCAGCTCACACCCTGCACCTGCATAGAGCACAGTTGGTTGAGCATTGGGGTGCTTGGGCTAAGTCCTCCTCTCAGCCTCCCAGGGCTCAGTCTATTGGAATGATAAGATGGGTACATAGACAACCAAAATATACATGAGAGGGGGTCAGAGCGCTAGCAAGGGCCCAAGCTTGGGGCTATGAAGGAGCAATTAAGTCTGTGTTATATCTGGAGAGTCTGCACAGAAGTGATATCTGAACTGGACCTGGAAGGAAGGGTACAAATCTGTTACAGAATTTTTAGACCATCAGAAGCCAAAACTCTAAGCCTATTTGTGAAGAAAAAAAAGATGGTGTCATAAAAAAACCTTTGTCATGAGTTCTAATCCCAGCATAGCATTAAAAATTGCTGTGTGTCCTTGACTAATTCGTTTAACTTCTCTGCATTGATCTTCTCTGGCAATTAAGCAAGATGGTGTGTGTGAATGTGCTTTGTAAAAGATAAAATACTACACAAATTTTTATTGTTAGAAATGATACGTGTACTGCTTCACGGGGTTGCTATGAGACTTCTTTGAAAGTGCTAGTCAAAAGAAAGTTGTTATTATTATAAAAAAAAAATTCTAGAATCTTCTGGCCCCAGAAAGAACTGCAGATGTAATAAAAGTTTATCGAATTATTAACAACTGAAGGAAAAATGGAAGCCCGGAACACACTGTATTAGGTTAGCTAGAATTACAACAGGCAGAAACCTATTTCTTATTAAATAAAAAGAGAGCCTTTTCAGTGAGATAAGCATCAAGTTCTCTACTGATGCTTATAAATCAATTTTTAAGGTAAAGAACTTGCTATCATAATTGTTCATTTTTCCTGCCACAGCTTGGCAGGGCAAATCTCATAAACTCACGACCTTTTGTGTTGGTACACATACATCCATCTTCTCAGATTATCTCTGCAGTTTAGGATCTGCCGTGCAAATGTACCAACACTGGTGAGCATGGGCTCCCATTTTGTCCTTTTCTAAATCTGCCAAGAGCTTCATGAGATCGTTTCTGATAAACCTCATCAATAAAACAAGCTCCCTTTGAATATATCCCTCAGACGAAAGAAAAGGGGAGATTCCCAATTAAAAACAGCCACAGACCACAAAACTTGACAGTACACAAATTGGAAGTATTTTAGTTTGCTAGGCCTGCCATAAAGAAGTACCACAGAATGAGTGACTTAAACAACAGAAATCCCCGCTGCCCGCCCCCAATCAGGGTGTGGAGGATGGAAGGACAAGATGCTGGGCCAATAGCACTGGCTTCTATTGAGGCTTCTTCCTGGTCCTGTAGTTGGCCATCTTTTCCCTGTGTCTTCACATGGTCCTTCTCTTGGTGCCCCAATTTCCTCTTCTTCTAAAGACACCAGTCATATTGGATTAGGGCCCATTCAAACGACCTCATTGTCCCTTAATTAGCTCTTAAAAAGTCTTATCTCCAAATACAGTCACATTCTGAGGTACTGGGGGTTAGGACTTCAATGTATGAATTTGTGTGTGGGGGCAGGGATGGGGGGAGGGGGAGGTGTCATGATTCATCTTGTAAGAGGAAGGCACACATGTAATCTCTGAAAAAGCAAAAAGCCCCTAGGTAACCCCCACAATGCCAGTGGAAGACAAAGACATTCACACCTTCTCCTGCACAAATGACACACATCTGTAATATGTGTTTTGTCCACTCTTGGGGCTGTATGTGGCCCATGCAAGGGCACAAATGGCACCATGCAGTACCTTTCTGTTGCAGCAGCCCCATGGAAGGGGTTGTGGGAGAGGAGGAGGGGCTTGTCAAGGTCAGCTGTGCTGGCATCTGAACAGCAGCTGCAGGAGCAGCGGGAAGGAATGGGGAAAGGAGAGAGGGCACCATGCAGCTTTGCCAGGAACCATGTGGGTTCTTTCCCCTGACAATTTTACTTTCCTAAAGGAATTCCCCTGGCCAGTTAGGAAGCCAGGGAGCAGATCCCCCTCCCACCCCCAAGCCTGGTAGATGCCATCTGATGGGGAAGATGGAGATGGAAAACACTGTCTCATTAACAACAAGCTGCCCTTTCAAATTTCCAACGAAATCTGCAAAGAAAAACAAGTGTGTTCAAACGCCACTTCACCCCACCCTGCAGCTGGGGGCCTGGGCCCCACGGTCCGGAAGCTCCCGATTTTCCTATGGGAACGGTGTCTCTGCTTTAAGGCATGCTCCACAATGCCTGTAATTTTCCACCTGTAGGACCTCCCTGACAGATACAAGCCTAAACAGGAGTAACAAAGGGAATCGGGGAAGCACAGCTCTCAGCCTAATGAAATAGGATCGCCGAGAGACGCTTGGAATTAAACCAGTCAGAACAATGACCAGAATTACTGAATGCCTCCTGTGTGCAGGCATTTACGTACATGGTACAACGTAACCCCCTCACTCTGAGGTAGCGATCATTGCCTTCATTTTACAGAGGAGGAGGCCCAAGTGCAGCAAGGTTTCTTCCCCAGGACCAACAGCTATAGGTGACAGGGCCGGGTTTGAAACAAAGCAGGGACAGCTGTTCACTGGACGGTGCTGCCTTCCCCGCACGCAGGCAGCACGGCCCCTGGAGTCAGCACCAAATGGCCTTCCTTTCACCTCTGCCAAGGGTAGCCTCATGCGGCCACTCAGGGCCCTGCTCAGGAAAGCACCCGGAAGGCCCACAACAAAGGGGTATCGAACTCAAGTGTCACTAGGTCCTGACAGAGGCCACACTGGGCCATGGGGTGGATGCCAGCGCCCTGATTCCGGACAGTTACTGGAAGGCCTGTGAGAGTCCTGGCTGGATTAGTGACGTGCTGGCCTGTGGGCCACAGATAACCGCTCAGCTTTAGTCCTGCTGCGTGAGGGACAAAGTGGACAGAAGCGGATTTCCAGACCCTGGAGGAACGGCCCCCTGAGGTCCATGGGGCCCCTCTTCTTCCCTCTTTAAAAGGTCGGTGTTTAATCCAGAGACGTTACAGTGATGTCTAGTCTGAAACAGCAATTTAACCGAGGAGACGGAACGTGGAGAGCAGTTATGCCTCACACGGTCGCTGTTCTCTTGGACAAACTATTTCTCTGTCACATGCTTTGCTTCTCTGGCTGCCAAACTGGGCCAATGAAGCTGACCACCTCTTTCCCTGAGGGGAAAGGAGAAAGTGTTTACATTCAGCAGAGCTTGGAGCTCCTGGAGAGAAGTGTTAGCTAAACACGGTACCTTTCCAGTGGAATCTGGGCTTGTTTTCACTGTCACTGCCAAGCTCAAAGTACGCAGCATTCCAGATGTGTCCTGTGGAGCTTTAAGAACCTTTTTTATTTCCTGAGTGTTCTGAGAATGAAGGTGCTAATGTGTTGTAGAAAACTATGTATTATCTCTTTTGAAATTTGGAAGCTTTAACTAGGTAAGGGAAAATCCGATTAAGAAGTCAATCTAGTCATTAATTTCTATTCACACACAGACCCTCCCTCTTGGCAGGTGTCGATCAAAAGTTTATAGAAACACTGTCAATCCCAGGAAACCCTGCCTCACTCTCTCATCCTCAGGGAGAGGAAGTATTTATTTTTCCTTTTTCTTAATCAAAACTACTTTCTTCCCCAAAGCGCTTTCTAAACAGCATTGATTTTCCCTGGCTTGAACTGGCCATTAATAATGCTGAGTCCTCCAGAGCCTCTTGAATGCCTCGTCTGTGTTTGGGGTTATATTTGTTTGCTGAGGCCCTCTGGGAGTCTGCCTCCCAGCTGAAGGTGGGTAACCCAAGATGGGCTTTCAGGGTGATTCACGTCACAGCCACATCCCAACCTGGGTCAGGGGGTGCGGGAGTGAGTTTGTCTGAGGCTCACCCCACCCTCAGCACCTCCACCTACAGCCAGGTCCAATCAGTGACCGTCTCCTTCTCTCAGCGCTTTGCCAGCAGGCAGGCACCTGCTAGAGAGCTCACTGGTAACCAAGGTGTGACCTGCTAATGAGATGAAGGACTGTCCCTGAACCAGATACCTTTTAGGGATCTCTAGAAACTCTCTGGCCTCTCCAAAGGCCACTTGCTTCAGCCCCAGTCTTCACTGCAGTGACCAATTCTGTGTGGGTCCCAATAACCTTCACCTGGCCTGACCCAGGCCACACAGTTCACCTCCAGTCATGGGGCTTCCCTGTTGATCCTGACACAAAATGCCTCGTGGACCACCTGGTGTTCATGCATGCGCACCGCGGAGGAGTGGAGGAGTGAGGGAATTCACACTCCATGGGCCAATGTCTCCAGTAGATGGGCGCCAGTAGATACCTCGGTCTCTTCCTCCTCCAGGCTGAGAAGGAATGTTGCATGTAGTTGTTATTGGCCTCAGAAGATGGTCTCATAGAATGAGCAGTTGTAGTTTATACAGGCTGTGGCCAGCTTGGAAATACGCCCTTCTCTTGGTTCTCCCTCAGTTGTGCTCCCCTTTTCCCTTACTCCTGCTCCTTGGGATTGCCTCCCTGATAAAGCAGACATACTTAACACTTACATCAGGCCTGCATTCTGAGGAATCCAGGGTAGATAGTCCTTCATAAGTATGTGAGCATGTTAAAGGGGGCATCTAGAAGGAGGAGCTATTAAGACTCAAAGAAAAGCATTCTAACGATGGAATCATGGACAGCGTGGTTGAAAGTGGGTGATGTCAGTCCAGATTTTCAAAGAGAGTGTGTGTCGGGAGGGAAAGGTGAAAAGGGTTCCCTGACCCAATATTAGCAAGTATGGAGGCTCCCCCACACCAACAAGCAATTCTCGAACACCAGCGGGGTGTCCAACAATTCAACTCAATCCTGACACTGTCCACCCAGAGGGAGAATCAGACTTCACAGGTTGAGGGCTCAATCCTACAAGATTGCTCCTGCTCCCAACTTCAGACCCCAGTTTGAGGCCCAGGTATCTATACTTCTGACAACTGACTATAAATCAGAGGTTCCTATGACCCCCTCTAGGGGTTTGATTAATTTGCTAGAATGGCTCACAGAACTTAGGGAACCCATTTACTCACTAGATTACTGATTTATTACAAAGGATATTAGAACATACAAACCAGCAGTCCAATGAAGAGATGCAGAGGTTGAGGTCCTGAACACAGGAGCTTCTGTCCTCGGGCAGCTTGGGGAAGCAACATGGAAGTGCCTGGAAAGAAAGGATTTCACTGTCCTCCTGGGTTTGTATGAAGGCTTCCTGGTCATGACTGATTAAGTCATTGGCCATTGGAAACTGAACTAAATCTCCAGCCCTTCTCCCCTCCCTGGAGGTCCTGGGGGTGGGATTGAAAGTTCCAAACGTGTAATCACAGGGTGCCTAAGGAAGGGGGCCAAAAATTACCTCATTAACTTAACAAAGACATCTCAATCCCTTTCCATTTAGGAAATTCCAAGGGTTTTTCAGAACTCTGTGCCCAAAACTAGGACTACAACCAAATATACTGTATATCCCTTATTATACATCACAACGTCACAAAAGGGAATAACGCTCTCGTCTCCTCTTCCTTCTGCCATTGCCTTGGCCCAAGCGTCTCTCTGCCTGGCTGTGCTGTGACACACTTTCTTCCCACTCGTACATGCTGCTTCCCAAGGTGTTTCATCCCAGAGAAACACCTGCCCCCTCTGAAGGAGGCTGCCTCAATTATAAATGAGCCTCCAACAGAGAAAGATGTGCTCCAGAGAGGGAAAGGAGAAAAACAGGAAAACAAATGGGCCACAATGTGTCTCTGAGTACCTCGGGATGACACAAACTTCACTTTCTCTTAGGCCCCTGGTTGGAGCCCTGAAACCCTCAGGATGGTCTGCAATCACCTTGACTGCCACTTTCTTCATGTGCTCGGGGCTTCTCCACCTCTGTCCTTCCTTCCCCTCAGCCTCTTTCCTCTGCTCACACGCGCCCTTTTGCTCTCCTCTCTCTACATGTCCAAATCCTCTGTGTTCTTCAGAACAAAGTGCTAGCTCCTCCAGGAAGCCTTTCTGGATTCCCAGTTGGGCTTGATCTCTCGGTCCTCAATCTTTTCCCTTCTTAACTTTCTTACCTCTGACTGTAAGCATCCTATTTGCAGGTGTCTGGCTAATTCTCCTCTGTGAGTTGGTAAGGAAATAATGAGGGAAGGCAGGAAGGAGACTCCGTGGGCCCAGACAAGTGTCTTCTGAGTCTGGGAAATGCAGGGTCAGTGGCCAGTTTTCTTTGCTTCCTCTTCCGTGTGCATTTCTGATGTTGCTAATGACAAGTCACAGCAGAAAATCTCAAATGTGCTGCTCTCAGGTAAGGTGTTGCCTGAGGTAATTCTCTCTTGTTGCCTCCCTTTACCTTGCTGAAAAGCCTGTGCATCCAAAGCTCATTACTGACTCCAGTATGGACTTTGTAGAGAAAAGCTGCCTAAGGACATGACAGGTGCTATGGCTGGGCACCAAGCACCCAGGGGGAAAGAGGCTGTGCTGGGGGGTGGGAGGCCCATGAACCTTACTTTCTCCTCAGTCCTCCTCCCCAGCCCACACTCTTGTAGTTCCCTTTGAGTCTGCTCGCCTCTCCTTCCTTTAACACTAGGTTTAAATCCATGAGGACTAGATCTATTATCTTGCACATTTGGACAATACTCTTTTGCACATAGGGAGCTCTCATACATCTGTACTGAGTTAGTAAAGACAGACCATTTCCTTAATCCAAGTTGCTTGAAGAGTAAGGAGGCACGGGTGAGGCATATCGGAGATCCTAGTTGCCTTCTAGACCTACTGAATCCTGTGCTTGATGTGACCCAGGCATCCTGTAGACTTGCCGGAATAAATATAAGACACTCTCCCAGACTCCTACCCCCTGGCACAGCACAGGAAGGTGGAAAATCACTATCTGTTTCGTAGTTGGGGAACTTGAGGCCCAGGCTGTTCAGTGACTTGCTGACAGAGCTGGCAATAGTGCTGGGAGAGCCAAAACAAGCCCTGGATCTTAGCCTCCTGGTGCTGTGCTCCTCCCTCCTGTGTAGCCCGCCTCCAGCTCAGGCCACTGGGCTCCAAATTAATTAGGCAACAATGAAGTCTTTGGAGGAAGCTGAAAGTGAGAGCAAATGCCTGAAGGGACTGGTGTGGGGAGGCAAACCAGAATGGCCTGTTTTCATTGATCTTTGATTGTGCCAATAACTGCCAGCTCCCAGGGCAAGCAGCTGCCATTTCTGAGTCAGCACCCTCAGGTGAGACTAGGCCTGCCCAGAGTTCAGGCATTTCGGGCTCTTTTTATTCCCCCCATGTTCTTTGTGTGGGAAGTGGGTCTATGCAAAACAAAAGGTTTCTGCTGTCTTAATTAGCCAAGCAGCTTGGAGCCTGGAGTCCTGGGAATACTGTCCAGGGTCATCTACAGCTCCCGCCCTTCCCATAAGCTTATCTTAGAATCCCCAAGAGACCCACTCTGCTGATGGAGCTAGATACAGCTCTGAAGATGCTGCAGGAAACTTTGAAACACAAATATTTTGTGAAGGAGTTTGAAAACTTTCATGCTGCTTAGCAAGTTTCTTAGCATTAGCAGTTATTCAGGGCCACCCAGAGTGCATATCCCCGGGAGAAGGAGAAGGCCTCCAACAGGAAGAGAAAATAAATTCTCCAATCCATTGGCTGTCTTGGAATAGTGAGAAGGACCATGGACTTGGGAGTCCTCTTGCCGCTGAACTCACATAGCTAAGGGCTTGCCTGCATCCACACAAAGATGTTTAACCCACATCTCAAACCTAACAGAACCCTTGATTCCCTCCCTCTCACCTCATTATGCACCTCCCTTCAATCTTCCCCATTTAAATAAATGACTTCATTATCTACTCCAAAATAAATGGATTTGGGCTTAAACCAAAAGTCTAGATTCATCCTCAATTCCTCATTTTATCACATCTCCGAAGCAAATCTTTGGTTCCATCATCACAAGATATACTGAATCTGCTCATTTCTCTTCATCTCCATTGCTACCATTCTCTTCCAAGCAGCCGTCATCCATTCGAACAACCCATTTGGGTCTATCTACAGCCACCCTGGCTCCATGACAATCCCTTTCATCATGCAAGCATAGTAGATGCTCAAAAAATATTTTGGGCATACGTGAATATTTTCAACTAGAGTCAGTAGACTACAGTGAGCTGACTTCCAGAGCAGCAATTACAAGGGCCTGGGAGCTGAACCTGCAAGTAGAAGGGAACCTGTAACTGTACGAAGCCAAAGCAACTCTCTGAAAAGAGAACATTCAGATAAACCAGTTATTTGTTTTCACACAATTTTCTTTTAAATCTTAAAACTGAATTTAAAAAATTTTCCCACTGATTTCAGTAAGCTGGTCAAGAAGGCAGCCTGCAGTTTATAAAAGCCTCTACCTCCATCCTGTATTTGACTTCTCACAGCGGAGTGGGCATGGTATTGGCTGAAGAGGCGGAAGCTTTGAGGGAAAATATGGCTTGCCCAGGAAAGAGCAGACTGGGATGGAGGGCCAGCCCAGTCAGACTCCTTGGCCAGTACCCCTGGAGGCAGCAACTGTGTTGGTTTCACAGGCCTTGGTCAAGGTCCACCAGACACAGTGTTTGTGCGGAGCTGCGTGATAAATACTTGAGAATAAGGGTGAGGACAAGATGGGAGAAACTTCGTTTAGCTTTAAAAGAATCTAACTAGCCAGGACCTGGGTATTCAGATACAAGACTGATTCTGTACATCAATTCCATTAAGAGAAAAAAGACTCTAGAGTAACCCTTTTTGAGGTCACAGTTCCATAGTATTTTGGAGCTGGAAGAACTGTGTTAGGTTCTGGGAAGAGCCCTTGTCCTCAGGAAGAATACAATCACAGGCATGGGATTAAGCGCCAAATGGCTCTAAGACAAAGCAGAACATCCTAAGAGTGTCACCAAAGTTTCCAGAAGCAAGTCTTTTTAGCCATGACCCTTAAGGAAAGTTTCATGGGGGAGAGAAGATCCTTGTGACTTAGATCTAGAGGAAAAAAGTGCAAGTTTCACAAGCAGAAATACATTCTGAGAAGAGGGAAGAGTTTGAGCAAAGGAGACCAGAAAGGTCAGGGTGTGTTAGCAATATGGGGAACAGTGGTGACATGATCACAAAGTGAGTTGAGACAATCAGCTCATTCTTCACAAGGACTCTTCAGTGGGAGTACCACTGGCTTGGGTTCCAGCCCCAGCTCAGGCACTGATTCCCTGAGGGACCTCTCTCTCTGGACCTCTGGGCCTGTACCTTCATCTTACTAATAAAAGCCTAGGTGGTCCTCACACCGTCACGCCGTGATGTCCTCATGCCGTCACAAGATGGCTGCGTGCACGGGGGGGCGTGCACAGGTGGGCGGGACTGGGCTTGACACTGTGTGTGTGTGGCATGGAGCCTGCCTGGGAGTCCCACCTCCTCCCAGCTTCATGCGCGGCCAGGCCTGGGAGTCCCATGGCTCTGCACAGCGCGGGGGAGGTGGGTCCGGCGTGTCCCCACATGGTGTGGAGGCCTGGGGGGCTCAACCTCCCCCGAGTGGTGTGGGGGAAGCGGGTCCGGTGGGTCCCTGTGCAGCGCGGAGGCCTGGGGGTCCGCAGCTCCGGCCTATCTCTTTGGGGGCAATTCATCAAGGAGCCCCGGATGGATGGGCAGGGGGGACCTCTTTGGGGGGATCTATCACAGGGCTCCTGCACTGTGACAGGGCACAGGCCAAGATGGGGGACCCCCCCCCCAGTGCACAAATTTCGTGCACTGGGCCACTAGTCCTATATAATAAAAGGCTAATATGCAAATCAACCAAAAAGCAGAATGACCGGTCGCTATGATGTGCACTGACCACCAGGGGGCAGACGCTCAATGCAGGAGCTCTCACAGGGGGAGCACTGCTCAGCCAGAAGCCAGGCTCATAGCTGGCAAGCACAGTAGCGGTAGCAGGAGCCTCTCCCGCCTCCGTGGCAGCACGAAGGATGTCCGACTGCCATCAGACATCCCCCAAAGGCTCCCAGACTGTAAGAGGGCACAGGCCGGGATGAGGGGACTTCCTCCCCAAGTGCACAAATTTCCTGCACCGGGCCTGCAGTCTATAAATAATAGGGTTTTCCAAAGATGCTGAGTGAGGCCTCAAGTTCTACAGAGCTGCTGCTTTGATAAGCTTTCATATTGAGCTGCCTGGGGAGACTTTATTTTAAGAATGGCTTTTGTGCTTGAAAAATGTTTAAAAGCCACTCATCTGAGTAAATGAGTTCCCTCCAACTGTATAATTCTATTTCTGCTGCAGGCTTGAGAGTTCCTCTGGTTCGTCATTCAAATGAAGTATGACTCATTTAGGATTCACTAGGTGCCTCTGAATTGTCTATGGCTGTATTAAGTCATTTGACCTGTTTTTAGCAGAAAATCCAATTTTTATTTATATCCTTAGGAAAAAGGAGCCTGGTGCAGCTAAAAGAGTCTTAGGAAGCAAGTCAGCAGATCTGGCTGGTTCCATGCTGTAATAACAAATATCATTCATAATAGATACAAATAAAAGAATGAATATGTGTTGACTAAATGCTAACTAGCTACACCATCTGAGGAAGTCTCCATGCCTCTCCAAAATGCCTGCCTGGCCTGCCTTAGAGCACTTTTAGGAAGATCAAATGAGAGAATATGCTTGAAAGCTCTTTACAAACTGTAAAGTGCTCTATAGGTATAACCAGTGGCCCAGTGCATTGATTCATGTACATTGAAAGAAATCAGGCTCCCTTCTCTCTGGTTCCAGGGTGTGTCACCCGAGAACCGCTGCTGCCAAGTCACCGCAGCTCAGCAGCTCCTGGTGGTCAGTGCGCATCATATGTATGGGCTGGTTGGCCGGGCACTTAGCCTTTTATATATATAGATGTACCGGGTGGAGCATGGGCTTGCGACAGCAGCTCTCCCTGGTGACTACAGAGGCATGGTTTGACTCAGAGATCTCAGGAAGTGACTGATTTTCTCAGACAAGCCTTTCTCAGCTTGTTGGTAAGCAAAAATAAATTTAAAACTAAAAAAAATAAAGACTCGTGCTGCCTATTTTAGGTGTTTCGTCTCACTCCAAGTCCCAGCTAGACTTCTCAGCCACAAGGTAATGGTAGAAACCTAAGGAAGGAGCCTTGGCCAAGACAAACCTGAGGGAAGTCAGAGGCGGAAGGTCTTGTCTGGCTTCCAAAGATATTTATCAGTTCTTTGCATTGTTTGTGAGCTCAAGATGGGGCTTTTAAAGTTATTTTTGAATTCCTAATCAAAGCCACATCATTAGGCAAATAAATTAATGGGCACATTTTCTGTGTCAGTTTAAGGAAACACTAATTCTTCCATCAAACTTATTCACTGATAATTCACCTATCAAAACTTCACCAATGACATCTGTCTCTCTTTAGCCCAAGCTACCATCGCCACAGGTTTCTTTGAGCCTGAATTGCCAGAGCTATTTTACAGACTATTCAGATATGCTGGTCTTCTCAATCAAGGGGTTGAAACATCAAGGGACTGCAGTCCTACCTGGGCTGTCAGACTGGGAGGCCAGAAAGAATGCCTTACACATTCCATGGCTCTGGAACCTAGACTGCTTGGCCTGGCTGAAGGTCTCTCCAGTCTGGCCCTATTCTAGTTGTAGTAAAGTTTACTGACAAAAGTCCTAAACTGGGAAGAGGAGACAGACCTCAATTTTTGTCTGCCTCT